TACATTAGTGAAGTGGAGTATGAACTCCCAATTTTACCCCAAATGCAGATTGCAGAATCACGTCAGTTACACATCCACAACATATGTTTAGCTTTTAAAGAAACTGTTAAGCCAGGTTCAGCGGCACAGGCCTATAATCTTAGTGATTTGAGAGGCTGAGGCTGGAGGATCACAAGTTCAGTCAGCTTCAGCAACTTAGGCCCTAAGCAACTCAGTGAGACCCTGTTTCCAAATAAAATATAAGGGCTGGAAATGTTGATCATTGGTTGAACACCCCTACGTTCAACCCCCAGTACCAAAAAAAAAAAGGAAAAAGAAAAAACTGAAGCTGCACAACTGTCTTTCAAAGTGACTGCACAGTTTTACATTCCCACTAGTAATGAATGAGCATTTCTGTTGTTATGATTTCTAACACATTTGATGCTTTCAGTGTTCTGTACTTTAACCCTTCTAATAGATATATAATGACATCTCACTGTCATTTTGATTTGCCTTTTCTAGTGGCATATGGTGTTGAATACTTTTTATATGCTCATTTTAATCTGCATATCTTCTTTGGTGAGGTGTCTTTTTATGTCTTTTGTCTACTTAGGGGAATGTTTATTTTCTTGTTTAGTTTTATGAGTCCTTGGTATATTTTTGGGAAAGAGTCCTAATCATATCATTTGTAGAGTGAAAATATTTAATTCTAATGAATTCTATCTTATCAGTTTTTTTCTTCATCAAATTATATCTTTGGTCTTAAATCTAAAAAGTTATCATTATGCCCAAGGCCATCTAGATTTTTTCCTGTGCTATTTTCCAGAAGTTTATAGTTTTGCATTTTTATTTTTAGGTCTATAATCCATTTTGAGTTAATTTTGTGAAAGATACAAGGTCTGTGTCTAGATTTCTTTTTTTTTTTAATGTGGATGTCCAGTTGTTCCAGCCAAACTTGTTCAAAAGATTGTCTTTTTCCCTCCATTGTATTGCATTTGTTGAAATTCAGTTGACTGTAGTTTTAGTGAATCTTTTTTCAAGCTCTCTATTTCTGTTCCATTACTCTGTTTACCTCTTCTTTCATTGCTACTATATTGTCTGATTGCTGTAGCTTTATTGTAAGTCTTGAAGTTGATGTTGTTAATCTTCCAATTTGGTCATCTTCTTCAATATTGTGTTGGCTATTCTAGGTCTTTTTCCTCTTCATATTTGGTGGCTAATTCTATGTTTTATGGAATATTATTCACAACTTGACCAGCTCATGAGGTCCCCAGATATCTGGCTAGATGCTATTGCAGAGTGTGTCTACAAACATGTTTATGGCAAGATTAACATTTGAATTGATAAACCAAGTAAGATAGACTATGCTTCCCCATATGAATAGCTAATATCCCTTCTATTGAACCAACACATGGAAGGGAAATTTTCGTGCACCTTCCTTTCTCCTCCTGTCTGCCTGATTACTGGAGCTGAGACATGAGTGTTCTGCCCTCACACTGGAACCTGGCACCATTGGCATACCTTTAAACTTGGAGTGGACTTGTACATTTAGATTTCCACAGGGATTACAGTACCTGCTGGGTTCTCCACCTTACAGACACAGGTCATGGGACATAATAAATCAAGCAATTAATTATAATACTTTTTCTAGATATCTGTATATATCTGGGTCTCTGAATAGATAGATATTGAGAGACAGTGTGTATGAGAGATCTGTCAGTATCTTCTGTGAGTTTTTTTTTCTCTAGAGAACTCTGATGAATATGAATACATTATATAAACTATAGAAACAGTTTGTATTCACAAAATAAATTGCTGGAATTCTGGTTGGGATTGTTTTAAATCTATAGAATACCAAATTAATAACTTTAGATACTTTCACTATTGTATTGTTTACAGTACTGGAGTTTCTGTAGATATACAGGTATATCTACAGGTTTGGGTATCTTACTTTGTTTTGATTTAATATTTTTATAGTTGTAGGTGGACCTTGATTTTATTTATTTATTATATGTGGTGCCGAGAATTGAACCTAGTGTCTCACAAATGCTAGCCACTAAGTTACAACCCCAGCCCCCCTTACTTTATTTTTAATTCTCAAAATTTATTTGCTATGGAAATTCAGAGCCATAGTGTCTTCTTTTGATCTTACATATTCTGTACACCCACATATATTTCAGGAGCATCCTGTAGTTGCTTCATTCTTTCCCTTTATCATCATGCCTCCAGAGATAAGTGCCCTTTTTCCAAGGTGACCCCCTACCTAACACTGTTCTGTCAAGACTCTCACCTTTGCTAACAGTCCTTCCTGTCTACTTTCCAGGTTCTTTTCTTTCAACTTCCAGTAGCAGATGTTCTGATTCAGGAGGGCCCAAATCTTGCCTTATGTTTTTCCTATTTAGATTTGGATTTTCTCTTGGTGGTGAGGCTTAGTTTGTGTTATGTGATTTTGCCACTTTTATCATACTTTACTGTCTTATACAGTCTTTACCTGACTCACTATAATTTTTGTGGCTCAATAACTTGAATATCTGCAATTTTATGTAGTTCTACCTGATGGAAAGGTAAGCACACTTTTTAATCTCGTGTTTCATGTCTTAATGAAATGCATCATTTTAATATCAATTCCAAGTTGATGAAAAGTTTTTGCTTTTCTCCATCAGTTTTATTTTCTTCATTGTTATGTGATTATTTGTCTTCTTCACAAGTTGAGCTTTTTTTTTTTTTTTTTTTTTTTGGTGCTAGGATTTAATCCAGTGCCTTGCACATCCTAGGCAAGTGCTTTATTAATGAGCTACATCTCCAGACCTTTATTTATTTATTTGTTTGTTTATTTATTTGAGACAGTGTCCCCCCTAAGTTGCCCAGGATGACCACTAACTTGAGATCCTCCTGTCTCAGCCTTCTGAGTAGCTGGGATTATAAGTGTACACCATCCTGCCTACTTGAATCTAAGCTTCTTGAGGGTAGTCATCTTCAATTTTTGTCATCACAATTTGTTTTATTATCAGCTATATCCTCCACATTATAGGAAGTTAATAAATACTAGGATAATGATGGATTTCAACTCCTGTATATAATATAGTGAACACTAAATCTACATAGGATAAATTAAAGAAGTCTTACACCTTACATAATAAGAACTAAGTAAAACTGAAGTTGAACTAATGGCATCCTGTATGAGAGAAATGAATATTTTCCTCTTAAATCATAGTTCTGCTTGTTATATACAATTGTAAATGACTTTTTTCTTTAATTCTTTTCTTACAGTGTGTTTCTGTAGTTTTACCAAGCAGTGTTTGTGGAGAAAATTAGTCTAGCTTTTTTTTAAGTATGAAATAATAATAATAGTATTAATAATGATAATAAATGATAATGCGGTTAATTTTAAGAATCTAAAAAGAAAGAGAATTAGTTCAGATTCCATCCTCCTTTAAGTAGTTTTAGTTAGTGTATCAGTTAATTTTTTCCAGTGTGTATCTCTTGTCGGTAAAGCTAGTTCTCATTAGTCATTTTCCCTTTGTTTCTTGGCTTTAATGGCTAATAAATGTTTGAGTTGATTCTGTGGTATTTTTCTTGTCCCATTACATGTCTATGTATGGTGTCTTACTGTACTTACCCTATAATGAGATTTAAGTACATAATAAATATTAAGAAAGTTATTTATAAGTCTGTGCTAATCCTAAGTTTCTGATTCAGGATAGCAATCTGACATAGACTTATCTGGGCTGAAATGATACATCCTGAAAAATCTATTTTAACTGTGTAAGAATTGGAACAAACAGGAATGGTTTTCTGAAGGAGAGGAATAATTTCAAAGTGTTACTTAAAAACACTGTTATGTTCATACTTCTATTCTGTTTGAACTTATACCTTTGTTGCATGTGTACTGTTATGACATGTATTGGGTTTTTATCAAGAGTTCCTTATTCATAACTCCCCCCCCCAGAGTAGGTCATAAAAAATAGAATTTCTTTTCCCTGAGGAAAGTCATGGAAACTGATCTTCCCCTGCTTTTCTTTATTGAAGTTGGGCATAAAGAAATTTTCTACCCTACTTGTCTGATAGGAGGTTATAAGACCATCCTCATTTCAGAAGGGTCCTGCCCTGTGCTCTGGAGGGAAAAATGATGCAGAGAGAAGCCAAGAATAATTCAGGCCTTGCTGGATTTCCATACCTAGACCAGTAGCATTAGATCATACCCTTTTTGTCCAGTCACATTTCAGTGTTGTTGTGCATGCTTCAGTCATACCTATGCAAGGAACTCTCCATAAAAACCCGAAAAGACAGGGTTTGAGGGCTTTCAGATAGCTGAACACATGGAGGTTCATGGAAGATGGCATGTCTGGAGAAGTTATGGAATCTCCTTGCCCTTTCTTATATACATTACCCTATGCAGAATTGCTTGCTTGCCAGTTGTCTGGTAAAGAGAAATCCCCACACTTGTTGAGGTTACAGAAATCTTTTGTGGTGTTATGGTATGAGAATGCAGTAATACCGGTTTGTTTTTTCTAACATAGTATGATACCATTTCTACCTGATCTAGTTGTTATGCCCTTTCTTAAAGCAAATAAAAAGAAAAATGATCTCTTAATATGTTAACCTGACTTTGTTATGCTAAACCAAAAGAAAGTTTTTAAAAAAATATCTATTACCAATAAAGCAAGCTCCAAATTAACTCTCTGCCTATTATTTCTGGGTGTTGTCACTGAATAGTTATCTAAACTTTGCTGGAGGGACTTGTGTTTTAGTTAAAATTAATTAAACCATACACAGGTATATCTATACCCCTGAAGAACATTTTTTGTTTTTGTTTATTAAAGATAATCTATGATCATTCCATGTTACATAACTATTTTAACAATTTAAAAGTGCTACAAATTGCTCAAACTTGCTTTTGTCAAACATTTAAAAATAGAACTCTTTAATTTGGGAGTTTTCTCTAGGGATTGATGGACTTTTGTCCATTTTATTTTAATCATATCCATAATTTTAAAATACAACTTTATTTTGACTTATAGTGTATGCAGAGAATATTTCCAAAATGGTGGGAAAAAAAAAGCACTGGAGAAAGATGAAAAAAGAGCTGTACTCGCCACTAAGACCACTCCAGCCTTAAACACACATGAATCTTCTAAACTTGAAGGTCATTTAACCAACCTCAGCTTTACAAACCCTGAATTTATAACTGAGTAAGTATACTTTTTCTACTTCAATTAACATTATCCTAGGTAGCTGTTAGTGAAAAATAGTATAGTTTATACCAAATAGAGGGCACTTCACTTGCTCCTGTGGTAATATGTTAGTCTGAGAAATAAAAATTTATAATATTATTAGGTATTAGGTAACTAGCGTATACTTTAAGAAATATCTGGAAAATTAGTGGTTCAGTAATGTATGTTGTCCTTGATAAAAATGAGAAAAAATAGTCTATTAAATGTTATAATAAATGATTCTTAAAATACAAAGAATCAAAATAGGAAAATTTGGTGAAAACCATTGAATTTAATATAACTGTCCACTAAGAAATTATAAATAAGTGAAAAGAATGAAATATTTTTAATAGTACCATTCTTTGATTATGATTTGAAAATCTGCCAACCAATAATATATCACAATATATATAAGTACAAACTTTATAAGTACACGAGTATTATAATTCAATTGATAATTAATAGTATAAAAATTATTTATGTATCTTAGTGAAAGAATGGATTTATGATATCAAGTAATATTTTATTAATTGTCTGCGAATGCTAAAACTTAAATAATTCTGTAAATATTCTTGATAGATGCTGAAAACTAACAATGAAAGTAAAATTACAGTCCTAAATAATTCCCAAACTGCAAATACCACATAGCATTACCTTTGGTTACTTTGATTTTATACCATGTTCAAAATCTCTACTTAAAAGTAATTCTATTTAAAAATGAATTAACATTTTTGAGTAGTTCAGTAGGAATAATTTTCCCTATTTTATTTTAATCATATTCATAATTTTAAAATATAACTTTATTTGACTTATGTGTACGTAGAGACTATTTCCAAATGGTGGAAAGAAAAAATCATTTGAATGATTCAGTAGAAAAAGACAAAGCAACTTTACCTTTATACAAAATTACTGTAAAGCTTATAAAATGTAACAATTTAACATCTCATATCTTAAGTGTTATGGACATTCTTAACATATGTTTAAAATGTTGACTAATATAAGAAAGTAGATAGTTATACTTCGTCAAAACAGATTAATATGGAAAGTATGAGTTCTAGAATATCTGTGGTTCTTTTCTATAGTCTATTTCATTATTGAGAATCTCTTATTTATACAGTCACTGTCATCATATTTTCCTTTCAATCTTAAACATGGTTTTATCCCTTTTATTTATTTGGGTTTATTTGTTTTGTTTTGTTATTGTTTTGAGGTAGGGTGTTTCTGTGTTCCCATGCTGGCATCAGACTCCTGGGCACAAGCAATCCTCCTGCCTCAGCCTCTAGAGTAGCTGGAACTAGACATGGGCCCAGCTGAACATTGTTATTATCACTGCCTTAAAATTCTTGTCTGCTAAATCCAACATTTGGGCTAACTCAGAGTAAACTTATATTTACCTCTCTTTCCTGAGTTTAGACCGCACTTTTATGATTTTTGTTATATATCTCATAATTTTTTGTTGAAAACTGGACATTGTTGATAATATAGCATAAAAACTCTCATTTTGGATTTTCCCCCAAGGTGGGATAGAGGTTTTTTAGTAAATTGCCTGGACTTAATCTATGGAATTGGATCCCTTTATAGTTAGTATATGCTGATTTATATCAGTCCTTTTTAAAAAATAAAAATAAATTAGTTTCTTTAATCCAATTTCCTTTGGTTTGCATCTGGATCTGCATAGGTTATGGTCAAACAATGAGGAGTGGTTGTGCTCAAACACCTCTGGCAAGGTTTCTGTTCTCTGCCAGAACATGAACATTTATTAGGGAGTACATTTAAAATTCAAGCAGTTTTTAACTCTGCCTTACCTTTTACTTCTGCCAGACCTGTTTGGGTCTCTCCTACATATATACATAGCCCTTTTTTTGTCAGTCATGACATAAGGCTATGTGGAGACCTTATCTAGTCTGACTATGTCTATTTCATTTCTAGTATCCTTCTGTTTAGTTTCTGATTGTTTCTTCACTCTCCATCTCAACACCAATCAAGACTAACATGGCAACCTGAAACTAGCATAGTTGATTTTCTTTATTTATTTCCACCAAATTTGTTTTACTGATATTGCTTCATGTAGGTTTTTTCTTTTTTGTTTTTTCTTTTTAGTTATACATAACAGTAGAATCTATCTTGATTATATTTATACAAGTATGGAGAATATCTTATTCTAATTAGGATCCCAGTGTTGTGAACGTACATGTTGGTGTGATTCATTGTGGTGTATTCTTATATGTACATAGGAAAGTTATGTCACATTCACTCCACTGTCTTTCCTATTCCTGTCCCCCCTCCATTTCCTTCATTCCCCTTTGTCTAATCCATTGAACTTCTGTTCTCCCCCTCCCACCACCACTTTATTGTCAGTTAGCATCCATATATCAGAGAGAACATCTGACCTTTGATTTTTGGAATTGGCTTATTTCACTTAGCATGATAGTCTCCAGATGCATCCATTTACAGGTGAATGTTATAAAGTCATTTTTCTTTATGGCTGAGTAATATTCCATTGTGTATATAGATTATAATTTCTTTATCCATTCATCTGTTGATGGGCATCCAGGTTGGTTCCATAGTTAGCTATTGTGTATTGTGCTGCTATAAACATTAATGTGGGGCTGGGTATATAGCTCAGTTGGTAGAGTGCTTGCCTCGAATGTACAAGGCCCTGAGTTCAATCTCCAGCGCCCCTAAAAACAAAATAAAACAAAACAAAACATTAATGTGGCTGCATCACTATAATATGATGATTTTAAGTCCTTTAAATATATGCCGAAGAATGTGATAACTGGGTCAAATGGTGTTTCCATTCCTAGTTTTTTGAGGAGTCTCCATACTGGTTTTCAGAGTGGTTGCACTAATTTGAAGTCCCAAAAACAACAGCAACAACAACAACAACAAAAAAAACACAAAAAACAACAACAAAAAAAACCCCAAAAAACAGAAAAACAAAAAACAAACAAAGGAGTACAAAGTGTACTCTTTTCCCCACGTCCTCATCAGCATTTATTGTTACCTATATTCTTGATAACTGCCATTCTGGTCAGAGTGAGGTGAAATCTCAGTGTAGTTTTGATTTGCATTTCTCTAATTGCTAGAGATATTAAACATTTTTTTATATATTTGTTCACCGTTTGTATTTCTTCTTTTGAGAAGTGTTTCTTTACTTCCTTTACCTATTTGATGGGATTATTTGTATGTTTGTTTTGATGTTAAGCTTTTTAAGTTCTTTTTATATCCTGGAAATTATCACCTTATCTGAGGTGAAGGTAGCAAAATTTTTTCTCCCATTCTGTAGGTTCTCTCTTCTTGCTCTTGATGTTTCCTTTACTGTGAAGAAGGTTTTTAGTTTGATACTATCCCATGTATTGATTTTTTATTTTACTTCTGTACTTCAGGAGTCTTAAGAAATTTAGTTCCTAAGTTGACATGTTGGAGTGTTGGGCCTACATTCTGTTCTAGTAGGTGCAGGGTTGAGTTTTGTGTAGAGTGAGAGAGAGGTATTAAATTTCATTCTAGTACATATGGATTTCCAGTTATCCCAGTATCATTTGTTAAAGAGGCTATGTTTTCTCTGACATATTTTTTTGGTGCCTTTGTCTAGTATGAGATATCTGTATTTGTGTGGGTTTGTCTCTCCTCTGTTCCATTGGTCTTCATGCCTCTTTTGGTGCCAATACCATGCTGTTTTTTGCAATAGATGCAAAGAGTATATTTGACAAAAATATAGCATGCATTCATGTTTAAAACACTAGAAAACTGCTGCAGTCTGGCTGGGCACAAATCACGAGCCACTCAAGCAGGAACAAACTTTATTTCTGAACTCCTGCAAATGCCACCCACCTTCTCCCAGGACACACCACACACCAACCAAAAGGAACTCTCCAGGATTCCCCAACTCCAAAGTTGCACAAGAACTCCAAAGTAGTCGGACAGCAGGGGTCTAATATACAATTGAATACACAGCTTAACATAACCATCATCATCTCAATGGCTCCCTGGTGTCTCATTCTGACTTGGCTGTGGCTCTCAGCAAAAAACCTAGGGATAGAAGGAACATATCTCAACATTGTAGAGCTATATATGACAAACCCAAGGCTAAGTGGAGAAAAACTGAAAGCATTACATCTAAAAACCAGAACAAAAAAGAAAGAGATGCCCTTTCACCACTTCTATTCAACATAGTCCTTGAAACTCTAGCCAGGGCAATTAGGCAAAAGAAAGAAATTAAAGTGATAGGAGTAGGAAAAGAAGAGCTCAAACTATCCCTATTTGCTGATGATTCTATATTTAGAAAACCTAAAAAACTTCAACAAGAAAACTTTTAGAATTCATAAGTGAATTCAGCAAAGTAGCAGGCTATAAAATTAATACCCATAAATCAATTTCGTTCCTATATATCAAAGATGAATCAGCTGAAAGAGAAATTAGGAAAACTCTCCCATTCACAATACCCTCACCAAAATAAAATAAAATGCTTGGGAATCAATGTAACAATAGAGATGGTAAACCTTAGAAGATGGAATGATCTCCCATGTTCTTCGATAAACAGAATTAATATTATCAAAATGACCATATTATCAGAAGCACTATACAGATTTAATGCAATTCCTATTAAAAGTCCAGTGTCATTTTTCATAGAAATAGAAATAAATTTCATAGTCATGGAATTTATTTGGAAAAATAAGAGGCCCAAAATAGCTAAAGCAATAATCCTTAGTGAGAAAAGCAAAGCAGTAGGCATCACAATATCAGACCTTAAATTATACTATAGAGCTATAGTAACAAAAACGGCATGGTATTGGCTCCATGTCGGTTTTTATACCCTTTGCTCCATCAATTTAGTCCCATCCAGCAGGAAAGCTGCTGTTTAACCCAGCCAGCTCTGACTAGGAAGAATTTTCATACCAACTGAGCTAGAGATGGGGATGATAAGAGCAGCTCCAGGCAAGGATACCACAGATCCCCCACTCTTCTTAACCTACATT